ACCGATTCCTCACAACTTTTTTTTAATTTTCAAAGATCATATTAAAGCTTATAAAATTATCATCCAAATGTATACGGGAAAAATACTGTCATTTGAACGAAAAAATGCTTTATTCATGTTTAAAGATTTTCTCTATATATAATCTATAGTAACTGTACAGGTGAAAAATCGACTCAGGCTGGCGCATGCGCAGCGCGCTACAGGAAAGATTGCTGGTAATGCATATTTGCTTGATGGTCTACATTTCTTAAGAAGAAGCTTTACAAATGTTTTTATTATGCCTGTATATTATTAGTGTAGTTATTATTAGTTTCAAAATCTCTGAAGCACATATCTGGTCAATGTCATGACAATTAACTGTTTGACCGGAGGCCCCTAGAAAGGAAAACTGATATTTGTTCAATTATATACATATATACATGAGAGGAGGGTGTCGTGTTCTCCATATCTATCTTCACTTCTGCACTATTTTGAAAGACATCGGAAGAACACAGTCAGAGTCAATTACACACTCGTTATGTTCCCAATTTTACAACCGCACACCGGATATCGATATTTCAATTTTCGTTCTAAAATTACCGAAACGCAAACATAATTTAACGCTTTGAAATTTTTGATTAAATTTAAAAGCACCAATCTCGCAGGAAACGCGTGAAATAATTACTTTTCAACAACCAAGAAATGTATTCTCTGAAAATGACAGAGATGAATTGAACGAAAATACATGACTATGGAAATTCATTATTTTAATTACCTGTCCTTTCGGGAAGTTTGTCAGATTTACGTTGATGTCTCCCGTGTGACCTTATTTCATACTGTGTAGATACTGCGTACAAATATCACAAAAGATGATGGAACACCGTCCTTGGTAAAGATGTAAATTGGGTGCTAGGTGATAAGGGAAGGTGTGGTTTAAGAATTAATAAAAAAAAGTTGGTGAAGAGGATGACGTGCCAAGTACTGGTGTGTTTTTTGAGAGATATATAGTTTTAAAATACGAATTTTGAATCATGAATTTCAACTATTACTGGTTCCCTCATAACAATGAAAGTTGGTTTTTATTCCTTTTTAATGTTATGTTTACGAATATTGTTGTGAACTATAGCTATGAGCTTACCTTGACCTACAGATATTAATTTCGTTATATGATAAATATTGAAACAGGATTTTCACCTTTATACATATTTCAGAGTAACTACTTTTTTCGTAATCTTGTATTGTTTGAACATATTCCTTGAAAGTATATTACGGTTCAGAACTTTAAAATGATATTTAGATGAGAATTATTACCAATAAGGATCAATCAAAATAATCCCAATCACGTCTGTCTATTGGGGTGTAGAGATGTATTGTTTGATTAAAGGAAGAGAGAGGTGCGGGGGAGGGAGATAACAAGCGAACTCAATTGTGTTACTGTTTCGAAAGATTTGCTTTAACACCGAAAGTGACCAAGTATTGTTGTTTTCTTCTCTATAATATGACGGAACTATACCACTGGGTTTCCCGCCACCGACGGATATATCGGGATATAGATATAGGGGTATCCAAGGCGTTGCTAACGTGTCAGAATCAGGTACACGCGATGTGTGAGAATCCCAAGAAATCAGCTGTTTACAGCTCTCGTAAGACACCATCTGCATTATCTCCGTCATCTCAGCAGGCTGCCAACTCTATGGTTGTATACAGAAAACAGTATCTGATAACTGATTCCCTTAAATCTTCCATACTTAAAGGCTGGATTGGCTTTAAACACTTGTATCATCATATGCACTTTGTGTAATTAAAAATATATATATACACCTTCACTCATGGCCAGGATATACTATTTCTGATAAGACTAAAATACTGTCGTCTAAATCTTCACCAACCATTTCTATTTGCAAAACGATATAGTTTATCTGGCTATCTCAGACAAGTGGAGATACGACTCTAGGCGATTACTTGGAATCCAAATCCATTTCTTTTAGTGATAATTTAAACATATTTCAAATATCTCGGATGACAAAATATTCTGCGTAGGTTTTACTGTTAAAACGTGTCATTTTCAGTGTTATTGTGTCCTTGGAATTCGCGCTATTACTGCTTTATAAACGTGTATTATGGTAAGGGTAACATGATTGTATCCACACGATTGATTCTGTATTTAGTTTGTATGTGGTCACTGTGTTGAAGTCTGAACTTTGACTCATTTGTTTCGGTGTATGGAGAAATATGTTTCTCTGTATTATTGTCAGATGGGATTTATGTCACTGTATAGGGAGGGAACTTTGACCCTGTATCTGTCTCTGTGTCGATATTATGAGAGATGTTAATACAGTGTTATCAATGTCAGGTAAATGTGTGTTGTGTCGTTGTTTCATTTTTCATTGTAAGAAAGTAAGGTAAGGATTTGTTTCTGTTTTGTTTTTAGTGTAGGGAGGTGTCAGTGTCGAAGTAAGGAGAGATTTCTGTCTTTCATTTATGTCGATGTTAGGAAGGATCTTCACCCTGGTCAAGGATGGATATTTTCTTTTGTGTCGGTATAAGAAAGTCTCTTTTCATATTGTTATATTTTTAGTGGAGTTTCATGTCCCTCTGTCGGTATAATATTTATATGTTTGTCTTTATATGTAGGAGCCTATATACGATTGCCTTTGTGGTTGTAATGAATAAACCCTTTGGGTGTAATGAAGGATCTCTGAGGGTGTAATGAAACAACTCTGGATGTAATGAATGATCTCTGAGGGTGTAATGAAGGAACTCTGCGGGTGTAATGAAACAACTCTGGATGTAATGAATGATCTCTGAGGGTGTAATGAAGGAACTCTGAGGGTGTAATGAAACAACTCTGGATGTAATGAATGATCTCTGAGGGTGTAATGAAGGAACTCTGAGGGTGTAATGAATGATCTCTGAGGGTGTAATGAAGGATCTCTGAGGGTGTAATGAAGGAACTCTGAGGGTGTAATGAAGGAACACTGCGGGTGTAATGAAGGATCTCTGAGGGTGTAATGAAGGATCTCTGTAGGTGTAATGAAGGATCTCTGAGGGTGTAATGAAGGATCTCTGAGGGTGTAATGAAAGAACTCTGAAGGTGTAATGAAACAACTCTGGATGTAATGAATGATCTCTGTGGGTGTAATGAAGGAACTCTGAGGGTGTAATGAATGATCTCTGAGGGTGTAATGAAGGAACTCTGAGGGTGTAATGAAGGAACACTGCGGGTGTAATGAAGGATCTCTGAGGGTGTAATGAAGGATCTCTGTAGGTGTAATGAAGGATCTCTGAGGGTGTAATGAAGGATCTCTGAGGGTGTAATGAAGGATCTCTGAGGGTGTAATGAAGGATCTCTGAGGGTGTAATGAAAGAACTCTGAAGGTGTAATGAAACAACTCTGGATGTAATGAATGATCTCTGTGGGTGTAATGAATGATCTCTGAGGGTGTAATGAAGGATCCCTGAGGGTGTAATGAATGATCTCCGTGGGTGTAATGAAGGAACTCTGAGGGTGTAATGAAGGATCTCTGAAGGTGTAATGAAGGATCTCTGGATGTAATGAATGATCTCCGTGGGTGTAATGAAGGATCTCTGAGGGTGTAATGAAGGAACTCTGAGGGTGTAATGAAGGATCTCTGAGGGTGTAATGAAGGATCTCTGAGGGTGTAATGAAGGAACTCTGAGGGTGTAATGAAGGATCTCTGAGGGTGTAATGAAGGATCTCTGAGGGTGTAATGAAGGAACTCTGAGGGTGTAATGAAGGATCTCTGAGGGTGTAAGGAAGGATCTCTGAGAGTGTAATGAAGGATCTCTAAGGGTGTAAGGAAGGAACACTGCGGGTGTAATGAAGGACCGCTGAGGGTGTAATGAAGGATCTCTGAGGGTGTAAGGAAGGATCTCTGAGGGTGTAATGAAGGATCTCAGTGGACTTTATGGAGGATCGATATGTTAATTTGTCATGTAAATATTGATATCACTGAGACGACGCTCAGCTTGTACATCAGTGCCGACATTTAGGCCCCAATCTTAATCATCCCTATGGGACATTGTGAATTTTTTCTACAGCGGTGCTTACACAACAGAAACGCTCAATACTATCATCAATTCGAAAAGTACAAACGAATTTACATGATATGAATCCAAACACGATGTTAATCGTAACTGAGAATTTGAAGCAGGCAGGATGCAAGAGATTTTCTCTTTTTCTACAGGTATCGCTGTCCCCATCACACTAGTATGTGTATCATATCGGCATACGTATCTTAACAATAGTAAACATTGGAGTTTATTTGCGCCTTATTTGTTTTGTTTATGTTCCGTTTGGTGACGTTTGTTTTCATTTTAGCACAATTGATGATATAAATACTGGCAGTAAATGGTTAAAATGAACAATACACCATTCAAACTTACATTTTATTATGTATCTGTATCTTAAACGGCACAGAATATGCCTCCAAGCTTTATTTCGGATTTCCAGTGAAGCCCAGTTTCAAATGAACCAGTTTGCTTAACAAACGACGTATTTTCGGTAAAACATTAGCTTTCTTATTAATAATTAAGTAGACTTAGTATGTAATTTCATTCATATACAAACAAATCAGTAATAAATAGCTATTTATTGATGCGTAACGGTAAATTTGTTTCCAGAGTAAGTAGTACTTAAGACGAGGTAAATCCGGGTTTTGAATTTCCTTCATTATAAGCAGAAATTCGTTTCATTGCTTATCGTATGTAGATTCTTAAAAATACACAGAGGTTAATAGCACCTATCAATACAAACTTTGAATTAGAAACAGTAGTGCCAAATAATGAAATCAGCTGTAGCATACTGCTGTAGCTAAGGGACTAAAGTTTGAATCCAATGACGCGATTTAGGAAAACCTGAGTTAATCGAAAAAGGCCAAACTCTAGACGGGAAGGCACAATAATTAAATGACTTTTCATATATCATACAGAAAAGGCTAACTGTTTCTATATATATACTATGACATATAAGTAGATATATAGATATATACTGTTTACAGGAATGGTTGGACGAGAATCTTTACTGGGACCCTGTTCTCTTCAATAGCATTCGTTCGCTCAGGATCCCCGCCAGAAATGTATGGCTTCCGGATACTTTCATATACAACAAGTAAGTATGATCTATATCCAGCTTCCTTCCACTCATTCTTTGATATGAGAGACAAGTATTATCTACCACTTCCTCAGACAAAGGAGGTGTTTAAACTCATTTGTGTTGTATTTTAGGCTACAATGCCGGTGTCCTACGCACTGACAATGCTTAGTGATGGCTACTTACTTTTATTTACATGTATACCGCTAAATCACGGACTAAAAAGATATTATTATGTAAAGTACTATAGGGTTTGTTTGCTGTGTCTATCGCTGTGATACAATCCGTGCTATTTTGAGGTGGTGTATCCTGGTGATAGCTGGTGGCTAGCCCACTTAACAACATAAAGGAGGCCGTCGTAGGCCTTTTTAGAGTGTCTATACTAAGGACACAGCGCGTGGGGATCTTATTGTGGGAGGGAAATCGAGTTCCCGGAGAAAGCCACGTGGTCCGACACCAAAACATCTAAATAAAAAGGTAGATGCAGTAAAGTCAAACGATAAAATAAACAGCATCATGCAATAGTTTTGTCCTTTCTGGATAGTGATGATAAGTGTCTAAATGTAAACGCCTAGGAAGCTATTGACGAAAAGTGATGTGGAAATGCACTAGCATCATCATTCAATAAATTTGATAATTTTCATATACCTGATAATATTTGAAGAGCGTTATGTACATGTATATATTTTTAATCATGTCGCTATTCGAATCAATTAAAACGTGGCATGCTGGTTGCGGCAAACCTAGGGTACTACAAGTCCACCAGCAGTATTAACCACAGGCAATATCGATGATTGTATAAAAGTCAAACAAGATAAAAGCATTTTTAAGGGCCAACGATTTATCAAACTTTTCGTCTTTCTATAGCTCGTCAGTGACGCTAAGGGCCCGTATTTTGAAGCCAAGGAGGCGACTAAAGAAAATAAAAGGTGATCGCATAAAATGCGCAATCTAGATGGGCAGTGCACATATTAGGATTTTCACCACATTTTACGTAGACCAACGCTATTATCGGCTGAACTGTAGCGCCCCCTTCAGTGCATCAAATCGATTTTTCAAATAGGAGGAAACGCTATATCATTGATATTATTTATTTTTATAGAATCTAACAAGAAGAGTCGGGGGTGTCGGCTCTGAAACTTGTAGCTCATTTCGGTATCCAATTTCGGAGACGCATTTATGTATTTGATTTGTCGGTATTTTATTTATGTAATGGACATTATGAGAAATGTATTTTCCAAGGAATCAGAAAGCCAAGCTCAATTATCCTCATGATTCTCCTGATGATGAACGAGAAGATTTTTATGAAGAGTAAATCATTTCCTTAAGATCGATTAAAATCATGATATCAAGGATCCCTTTATGTTCTGTAAGTAAACATTTCATATATATTTATACATAATACGTAAACAATTGATATCGTTCATGGTGACGTACCGGTTATATCGGTGGATCTAGATTATAAAATACTCAACAATTTACTCCTATATTTCTCTCTAATAACTATCATTATGTGAAATACTTCCTCTATGTAAGGAATGGAATGTGTCCTCAATAGAGACGCTTTCCGCCCGATGTCAGATCGAATTTGTGTCTGTTGATCTGCATTAGCTATGGTCTTTTGAAAACAACATCTATTAAGGACCGAAGTGACCTAAACATTGCTTTTGTAGGATAACAATCCTGGTCACATCATACCGATAACGTACAGACCATTCATTATTGCCAATTACAAGCAATCTTCGAAAGTACCAATTATGGCGATAATTGGTTTGTTAAGGTCAAGGTAAAGAAGACATCATTCTCCTCTTGGACAAAAACACAAAAGCCACTACAAAACAAGAAAATGCCGACACGTTAAAGAAATAATAATCCAAAATCATAATGGTTGAAACTAGGAAAAATAATCCTGATATTGCACAAGAAAACGGAAAACTCTCCAATAAAATCACGGCGACGATCCTAAAACGTTCTCATAGGATTCATCAATCTGAATCTCAAGATATTGGGAATATCGAATAAAGCGCGACATGGGGGAAGCACGCATGTTACCACCTAGTAATAGAAAATATTACGCTTATCAATCGGATTGGTGTAAAGCTGTCTTTGTTCACGTTTGTTAAAAGATCGTGCGGGCTGATAAAGAATAGTCTATTGTTTTGCAATGATGAATGTTGAGGCAAAATGTTACAACATTAAACAAAAGCAAGAAAGACCAAGTGACACAAATAATTGAAAGAGATGAGCATATATATATATATATACGGAATCTTGTTTGCTGAATATTTCTTTGTTTACAGCATTTTATATGTTGATATCGAAGATCAGTTCCGTAAACTTAAAAGTGTGAATTTGATATTTAACAATACTCGCTCAAATTAATGTAAATTATTTACTGACGGTATAATCACAACATAACATCATATCCCCATATAGTCTGTATATACACAACATTATATGGTATATATAATAATTCCTTAGTATACAAAATCCGGAAGGGATTAAGTATCTTTACATCACTATACAATCCATTATCGTACGATTTCCCTTATATAATTATCATGTATAGATATACATTGGTCTGATCTAGTATTCGACTATGTCGAAAATTTAGGGCTGCTTTATAGACTTTCTGAAAATAAATTATAATTTTTTTACGTGCATGGCTGTAATAAAATAACGGGCATTACAAAACTGTGTTCTGGAAATAAATCTCCCTTTGAAGACCTCTGGAGACCAATATGCAGCCTACACGTTTGCCAATAAAAAGCATGCAAGCTGGTGTTGTCAACGTCACACTCAGCAGCCCTAAACTAAACTATCACGGGAAAATATAAAACATGGCTATAATTTTATAGAGTGTGGTAAAATTCAATCAACGATGTAGCTTGTGTGCCTATTGCGATATAAAACACTCCGTCTTTGCAGGACTATGCCCACTGCATAACGATGTTAAAGTACACGTACTAGAAAATTATCATCAGTCAGCCTTAATGTATAATGTGATGTCTACATTCCTACACCTGAAACAAATTGTTTATATATATACTATCGATGATTTTAACCGTTCATAAGCGTTCATATGCGCACTCTTGTACAAAATACAAGATGGCGTTTTACACAATTAAATGAATATGAACATTTTCATGTAAAATTGCCTGTTACAATACAATAGTTATGTTTTATAAAGACAAGGCATTGGGTCTTTATAATGAATCACTTATAATGAAGTATTCTATTTATATTTGCACCTTAGTGTCCAGTTCTTATTGTCCTTATTCAAACTGTGTAAGACTATCATTAAATGAGTTCAAGAAATCGTTTCCTTAAAGTACCATTTCTTTTTATAAGTTGACGATTTTAATATCCTTAACTGACTGGAATGATGAAAAGAATTAAAAATTGAAAGCTGCGAGTGATAAGTTCAATACTTTATATAATTCTTTTCAAACTGTTTTAGTGTGATATTAAATAAATGATTTCCAACAAATTTTCGATGGCCATCAAAGCATGATTTTTTTCTTAACGGGACGTTATTGAACAAATAATTTTGTTATGCTTGTTTTTTAATCAAGCGATAATTAACTTACTCATTTTGTAAGAAATTCAAAGTAAAAATTGTAACACACGTTTGTAATTTCTTGCAAAGAATACGGCATATCGCGAGGTTTAAGTTGACTCTTCAGCGCCATCACGGATTGGCTTGCCTGCAACGTCTGTACAGTACTCTGACAATGCAGTGCTCAGAGAGGTCCGGATCAATACAGTGATACATACGGGCATACATGTACAAGTGGTTCAGCTAGCTCAACCTTCATCATTAGGAAAGTGCATAGTTGCACGCAAAAACCTGCTATATCTGAGTAGTGAGCATTTATCGTCCACGATTTCCGAGAAGAGTGTTTACCAATGGTGTAAAGAATGATCGATTATATTTTTAGATAGAAAGGCACTTCGCATGTAAAGTAAGGTTGAAAGACTAACTATCCGCTGAACGTACTGTTTGTTAAGAGGGCGAATAGGATATTTACCACGTGCACCGGATCTTCATTTTCATTTAATCTATTTACAGTTATGTCTCTCTAATTGGAAAAAGACCAACTGCGTTAATAAAATAGTTAAACGGCAAGAAAAATCAATATAATTCGATGAAGACGTCGTTTGCGTTATATTGTGTTGTAATAAACATATAGCTATGTCATGAAAATATGGTCTTGAAATGTACAGTCCTGAGTTGTATCAGGAGCCTGACCTTGTGATGAAATGTCATGAGTTTTATCAGGAGCATGGTCTTGCGATAAAATGTCATGAATTTTATCAGGAGCATGGCCTTGTGATGAAAGGTCCTGAGTTTTATCAGGAGCATGGCCTTGTGATGAAATGTCATGAGTTTTATCAGGAGCATGGCCTTGTGATGAAAGGTCCTGAGTTTTATCAGGAGCATGGCCTTGTGATGAAATGTCATGAGTTTTATCAGGAGCATGGCCTTGTGATGAAATGTCATGAGTTTTATCAGGAGCATGGCTTTGTGATGAAAGGTCGTGAGATTTATCAGGAGCATGGTCTTGCGATAAAATGTCATGAGTTTTATCAGGAGCATGGCCTTGTGATGAAATGTCATGAGTTTTATCAGGAGCATGGCTTTGTGATGAAAGGTCGTGAGATTTATCAGGAGCATGGTCTTGCGATAAAATGTCATGAGTTTTATCAGGAAGATGGCTTTGTGATGAAAGGTCATGAGATTTAGCAGGAGCATGGTCTTGCGATAAAATGTCATGAGGTTTATCAGGAGCATGGCCTTGTGATGAAATGTCATGAGTTTTATTAGGAAGATGGCTTTGTGATGAAAGGTCGTGAGATTTATCAGGAGCATGGCCTTGCGATAAAATGTCATGAGTTTTATCAGGAAGATGGCTTTGTGATGAAAGATCATGAGTTTTATCAGGAACATGACCTTGTAATGAAAAGTCGTATGTTGTAAGAAACCCAAGCGTTATGAGTTGTAGCAGGGACAAGACCTTGTTATGAGAGGGTATGAGTTGTAACAGGGACATGGCATTGTTATGAGAGGGTATGAGTAGTAACAGGCACGGTCTAGAGGTGAAAAAATTGCATTCTGTAATATGGACATGACCTGATGATGAACATTTCTTTGTTGTAACATTCACAAGGCCTAGTCATGAAAGGTCCCGAACATGCACATGACCTCGTGATAAACCGCTTTGAGTTGTATCAGAAAATTGATCATGTGATGAAATGCTATAAAATATGACAGGAATAAGGTCTTCGGATGAAATTTTGTTTCCTGTAACTGGCGTTGTGAGTTGCAACATGAAAATGACATAGGAAGTCAGATTCAATATGTTGATACACAGAATCACCTCTCAAATTGGTGAACTCAGTAAGTTTATATTACCATTTTTATAGTATCAGTGTTATGCCAGTGTTATGGTTTTATAGTGAAAATGGTATTCCATTGGATACAAGGTTAGCTACAAAATCAAGAACATGATAGATTTGTATCAATTCGTAATGTTCCAGGACCTTTACTGTGAGATATTACCTACAGAATATCTAAATACTTAATTATCAGCACGAGGGTTTCATTTTTCCTATTGTAAATTTCCTTTTCTTGTTAGTAACTTTTTTCCTTTTGACTTATGGTATTTTACCAGTAAACAGTTTTCTGTAAATTGAAGACATGCTTTAGTCCATAAACTAAAGGTAAAATAACGAGCGACATAAAAAGTCAGAAACAGCACCCATTAAACAACAAGCAACATGCATGAGGATGAATAACAACAACACTAAATCCCAAACAGCTTCAATACAGTCGTGAATCAACAAATTTGATGTATTATATCTTAATGTTAAAACAGCAAGAAACAGTTAGAAAAACAATCATTACAGCTAAAAACAGCACAATTTTTTAAACAGAATTTAGTAAAATCATTACAACTAACCAATGGTTATTTTACGTCGTATCTTATAATATTAAAACAGCCAACAATATTTGGGAAAAAAACAACGAGTATTTCAATAATAAGCAACACTAAGCCATTAACAACATTCAGTCATTTTCGACAATCAGAAGTAATGTAACTTGTAACTTAGCCGTCTTCTATAGCTAGGGAAAAGAATAATGATCTTTTTGAGAGGAATGGGTGTCCTGAATATAAATGCATTTCTTCCGTGACTTGTCGAACACATGTACTTGTTAAGACACTGTCTGGCGCCTGAAATCATTTCATTGAAGCGGAATTTATTGCAAATGCCTTTAAAACATGACTAGAATAAGGATACAAATCTGCTCATTAGCCGAATACAAGAATATATGCATGGAATCGACAGGGAACTGTAGACGATATCGTCATGAAATTTTATCTGTTTATTTGAAAATCTGAAAAATTACTACCTCTGATGTTAAAGAAAAGAAATGCATATGAAAAGCATTTTTGTTTTACTTACATAATACTTATTTCTTTTTCTTTAGGTCTAGGTTTTTCATCAACATAGAAAATCAGCAACAAAAATAACTAATTAAATTCATATTGATATTAAAATTAAGAGACAAAAAACAAACGAAGACTTTCTCTTTTGATTTAATTTTCAAGAAATCTATTTTCGCGTTTTCTTAAAGCGTAAAAAAATCTCTAGAAAATATAAAGTAACACTAAAACAAATGTTGATTTATTCAACGACACAATAATAATACAAAAATATCGGGTTAATGACGATGGACTTGGATTGCGTTAGTGTAAAAAATACACGGGCAAATATAATATAACGAAATTCAATTGATGTCTTCTTTTTAGTTTCGTTTAGGTTGCTATTTTTGTGATAGTTTTTTTTCGCTCTATTCGATGATGGATTGGCATAACGAAAATACATACATGTTCAATGAAATCATCAGAGGAAACCATAGTCCGTGTGTAGACCTTCGCGAAAAAAAAATTTACTCTCTTTTTGAAATAAAAACCGCAAAAATCTGAACCATAGAAAATCGCAACATTAGTCGCTAATTAACAAGGTTACTTTTAATATTTCTATATGATTTCAGTGCGGATGACGGATCGACTGGTTTTATGCAAGGGACATATGTACTGGTCAACTACAACGGAACAGTGAAATGGCCGGTACCTGTCAAGCTGAAGAGCTCATGTAAGGTTGACATCACTTATTTCCCCTTTGATGACCAAGAATGTATTCTCAGATTTGGATCTTGGATATATAGTGGCTTATGGATGGACTATTTTTCGGAACATAATGAGACACCTATTAACCTCGGCAACTACGTTGATAATAGTGAATGGGACCTTCTTTCTGTCAAGCTCAAGAAAAACATCCGTACACATTCTTGTTGTCCAGATCCACATCCGGATATGACGTACGTTCTTCACATCCGTCGAAAAACATTCTATTACATCTTTAATATCATTGTTCCTTGTGTAATGTTATCGACGTTAACTTTGTTAACTTTTTGGCTGCCACCTACTTCCGGTGAGAAGATAACTCTTGGACTATCTGTATTTTTGGCGTTCTCCATGTTCATGCTCCTAATTGCTGAAGAAGTGCCCGCCACATCAGAGGCTGTGCCTCTCATAGGTAGGTCAAATACTTTTCAGATTAGATAAACTGAAGAACATTTATCATGTCATAAAAAGTAAATTACACAACATATCAGATAAAAAATGAGGCACCCGTCTTGCTATACATGGACTTGTATGTACATTTGTATATAAGAATTCTGTCGAAATGCGTGCCTATAGTACAATCTTTCGGTCTTTAAATACCTCTTGTGGTAAAACGAGAGTATAGATTGTCGACCTGATACACATCAGAACCTGATAAATTGTAGTGTTGCCAATCAGTGTTAGTTGTGGCAATTCCGACCAACACACATTTACAGACTTGAGACTGGATAGCGAAACATTACTTCTTGTACCAGTGACTCGTCAGCAGATCTAGGCCAAAACCCGCAAAGCGCTTTGTTACGTACCCAACACAGTATGGCAGGGTGTCTGGTCTAGCCAAGTTTACCCTCTCGTTATTTTTTTCTAGGTTATCGCTTTAAGGATTATAACGATCCACATAAACTTATGAGGCTGAAAAAAAAAGAGAAAAAGGAAGGGTAAATTGAATTCGTGTTGATTATCACGTGTCTAACTAAGAAAGGTAATCTCTCTTCGCTCCGTGTGTTGAAACTTCGTCTTATTTATCGTTTAACGGTTTGAAGTATTCCCCTTTTTTGTTAGACAGAATGCTTTAATGTCGTATTAGAAAAAATTCTCTTAAGCTCGTTCATTACTACTTTTTATAATGGAACATTTCAGCAGATAATAGGTGTATTCAACATCTAATACGTACGCCTCCCGGTTGATGTGTCTATCACGTGAATCAAGTTTAATGACCTCCTTTCATCAATAGTTTATTTCTTAATCCCAAAGTTTCGTGTGTATTTGTGTGTTGGTTTTGGGTTTCACATATCGGCAACATATATGATTGTAGAAAGGAAATGTCCATGTATGATGGAATCGTTAACATTTTAATATCAGACTGAAATGTCCAGACTTTGACATGGTGGTATGGCTCACTGTCCGGTTATATTATACTGAGAACTAGGTTACATACAACGCCTTTACTGATTTAAAGCTGAGGGTCTTATAGACAGCGGTAAGATTCAATCTTAATGATTTTGATTTACTCTCAATCAATGTATAGGGCCAAACCTGCTCGCGCCAACACAAAAGGAGTTCCATGCAGGAACTAACAATGTAGCAATAGAGAAGACCGAAAAAAGTTATAAATGTTAAAATTGTTTCATTATCTGTGTTATTACTCATTTCAGTGTCCCAAATGGAAGGTTCAAAGGCACATATCAAAAGGTATACCGTCAAACCTCGTCATCTCGAACTCGTATAACTCGAAAATCTCATTTAACCCGTCTGTTCCGACCAAATTTTTCACGAAACATCCAATCTCACTTAAATCGAATACTCGATAACTTTGTAATCGTTATCTCGAAATACTTGCGAACCAGTAAAACTTTACCTAACAAACGATCGATCAGTATGAAAATGTAGACACGTCTGTTTGTCGGCGACCTTTGTGTCACACACAGAGTTCACACTTTTTCGATAACGACAGTAAATCATGTTCAGAACTCGCCAGCGGTTTTGTATTATTATTTGAACATGGTATAGCCAACATGTAACATTGATAATACGAGTAAGATTTCCTCGTAGTCGTGGTAATGGACAACAACGGCGTATACTTGATTTTAAATGTTAGTCAGCAAAGTACATCTGGAATTGGAAATCCTTTGTGAAAAATGACTTCTCTTTCGAAGATCACGCCATTAGGTTGTCCGCCATCTATCTCTGGTGGGACGCAAAGGTCATTAATCTCAGGAAGAAACCTACTCACTTTCTGTCTGGGAGAAGAGATTACGCGTCTAAGAGTAGGTATAACGCTTTAAGTGTGAAATTGGGTTGAAACAAAGCTTAATCTGCTTAATAACATTCATCTTGGGGCGTAAACAGTTAAGGATTAAATGAATTTCCTGAGAAATACATGCGACAGACGCTGTGTTACATAGCAATTTAAATAATGGCCGGTAAGAATTGGAAACTTGCTAATGCATACCGTTAATAAAGAGCGAAAGTACAACAGTTTCAGTTTCAGACGCCATGTTTTAGCAAAATTTGCAACTAACTACAACATGGACGGATAAATCTTGAATCTTGTCTGTGCTACTAAAATTGTCATCGTCTCAACCACCTTCGTGTTAGGTCCTCTATGAAAAATGGCACGCAGATCCTTCATTATATTTGCGATTTTCGTACAGGAGATGAGATTTAAACAACAATGACTGACGCAACATGTTCACAATATCAACAAAAGAACCTTTTTTCATATCTATAAATTACTTAGCAAAGACATAACTGAATGTATGTACTTCAGCGAGACACTATTGGCTAGCTTTTATTTCCTGCGTGATACACGCGACATGCAACGTATTTTAAATGTTCAAGATTAACTTAAGGAAATTGATGGTCGGATAATTGTATCCATAAATCAGGTAGATAATACAGATTTAATTAGGTTTTTGTGTTTCAAATAAAATTTTGGTTTTATTACAACTGAGAATTATCAAGTAAAGAAGATTAAATGTCGAGCCGCACGTGATGTTCCTGGCACTGAATATGTCGTTTTCAAATTGCTTGTCTCTGGATGAAGATTAGGTGGAAATTTTAAGATCACCGTTTTTATATCAATGAGAAAATTATGTTTCTTGATTAGATACAAAGCTGTATGTGTTTATGCTCACAACTGTACCTGGTTCTCATGACTTTACGTACTCGGATTGACCAGACTTTACATGGCGGATGACATCGACAAAGCAGGAGAGCTTATTGTTTAAAACGTCTTGTTTAATTCAACTTTTTCAGCTAAAAATTAAATGTTGTGTTTAAATTATTGTTATAATGCTGAAAATATACGTCTTTCTCAGGCACTTTTTTGTTTGTTTTTGTTTTGTTTTGTTTTTGTTTTTTGTTTTTTCAATGAACACTATAGTTTATAAGGTAATGAACCACTTTTATGCATATCACCACCGTTTTGTTTTTTCCACAGGTATCTACTTATGCGTGGTGATGACAATGACGTCACTGTCCGTAATCATGGCTGTTATGGTGATAAATCTATACAACAGGGGTATGAAGACTAGACGGGCCCCTAATTGGTTAAGACACGTCGCATTAAAGTGGTTGTCAAGGCCACTCCAAATGAAACACGACATCCAAAAAGTAGCTAAAGCCATTTCGCTGGTAAGATCATTCTAAAATGGTTTTGTTACAATTAAAATATTATCTACTCAAAATAAAAAAATATCAATAGAAGAGTCTTTAAACTAAAGGAGCAACTCAGTTTTATACCAAATCTTCGTCATATACTTACGAAAAAGAATATGAGGTCATATGACTAGGATGGTCAGGATAACTAGTAGGCATAAGGTTTCGTATGTCGTCGTGCGCCAGGCATGGCCGTTTTACATTTCAAATTTTATCTCAAGTTTAACCAATGGAATCGAACTGAAACTTGATTTAAATCATAATGTAATAGTTCTGACTTAATATTATTTTCCGGGTGGTCCGAAACCTATTATGGCAGCAGCAGCTGCAATGGACGCCATCTTGAAAACACATATTAAACTTCTGAAAATCCACTGATGTAATTGAGCTGGGAATGTTAAGAGACTGGAATGGGGAGTGGTTTTAGCCTTATTCCGAAATGTTTTTCTTTTACTACTGGTATGATAACACGTGTACGTGGTATTCATAGTCAGATGACAGTTGAGGTCCATTGGCCTGTTGTTATGAAATTCTCTTGTAAATGAAAATTGATAGATTCAAGAGACAGAAGTGAAAAGCATTTGAACGACATTTGAAGATGGAATACATTTGCAAATTAGTAAAACCCAGTCAAACGAATGAATTACATTAAACCCTTCCCTACAGCATTATACAAAATGTAAAATCATATCTACTGGAAAAGTATGGTATGGTCGGATGTCTCAAGTCGATTGCATTCATGTACATGTTGGTTTTTCTTTCATGTATTTTAACTTAAAAGAGACATCCGTTTTTTCGAAATCTGCTCGAGTGTACTAGCGATTATGTTCAACCGGAGTACTTACTTTTGAAGTACTATTATCTCCATTATTTAACCATTTCATTATATTTCAGGAAGATGAATTGGAAGGCGCCTACAGATGTAAAAAGCACGGAAAACTAGACACGAAAAACATTCCTAATAAATCTAGTCCTGACAAAGAGGATACAGCAATGTTGGATAAGGAGACGACAATCCGAAACAGACGGTATGACAAAAATGACGTCATGACGACGTCATTCGTTGAGGAGAATGATGAACAAGAGGTTATTTGGTTACGACGAGAAGACTTTAAAGAAGAGACTGCCGAGTGTTCGCGAAATACTTGGGCAGATTTACACGAACTTCAACAAAGTAGCAAGGATAATAATAACCGCGCGAAAAAAGGTGCGCGAAGAAAAACAAGCGGGAAAGCACCGGCGCCTGCTGTGACACCTGTTTTGCAAGACGAAACCAAATCCACACAAACAGAGGGTAGTTTAGGTACATTCCTAGCCGAGTGTCGCAATCAAAATGAACTGTTCGCACGCAAACTTATAGTTGCAGAGTGGCAGCGTATAGCGGCCGTAACAGACCGGATCCTGTTCTGGTTCTACTTCCTCAGTACTCTGACGTCATACATTGTCATTCTTATTGTGGTGCCAAACTCCAATTACTCTAGATGGAATGAGGAGATTCTTCCCATGCATACAGTTACACAGGCAAGCTGATATGTCAGAGAATTAAAATGCAGGGCACTTATATGTTTTGTCCAGTCTTGATATACAAAATCGTGTATTTTGATCAAAATTTAAAATACTAAACTCAGTTTTGCGTAATTCATATGACTGGAGTTCACACACTTCTCATTTGTGAAACATATTTGCATGTATAAATAATAACATTCCTGCTAACACCCATCACTGTATAGCTTCTTCTTTCTTTTTTATGTATATAGTAGAGACTAGTTATAAACCGCAAGATAGATTCGGATGAATACACGTAGTACAATTCTGTTCTAGTTGTAGACTAGACTAAATGTAACGTGTCTCTTCAGGTGTTTAAACAACGAGAGGTAAAGCGGAATTTCTTATATCAATTTCATTACGTTGTTACTAATTTCCATAGACCCATGTTAACTCTTAATTAACAGCACATACATACCACAGTTCACATGATAAAACGATGAATATGTGGCCATGATGACGATTTTAAACTTGAATAATGACTAAGAAATGTGTTTTCTGCAATATTGTTCTTGATTAGGTAGTGATGCAAATACTCCGTTCTTTTTTTCCTTTACTTCTTTTAACTTGATGTCAAACTTGTGTCTATGTTCCTCCAATTCTTAAGTGGTTTGAAAAATTACCTTGTGAATCTCATTTCATTATGGTAATCGTAAAAACTAAAACAAACTCGTCACCATTGTTTTACAAACCATTGTCTTTCATTTAAGTCGGTGTAGATGGAAGTTTGTAGGTTACAACACAAATTATCGTGATACGATGATCGGGATTGGTGGAAGTTTGTAGGTTTTCACACAAATTATCGTGATACGATGATCGGGATTGGTGGAAGTTTGTAGGTTATCACACAAATTATCGTGATACGATGGCCGGGATTGGTGGAAGTTTGTAGGTTATCACACAAATTATCGTGATACGATGATCGGGATTGGTGGAAGTTTGTAGGTTATCACACAAATTATCGTGATACGATGATCGGGATTGGTGGAAGTTTGTAGGTTATCACACAAATTATCGTGATACGATGATCGGGATTGGTGGAAGTTTGTAGGTTATCACACAAATTATCGTGATACGATGATCGGGATTGGTGGAAGTTTGTAGGTTATCACACAAATTATCGTGATACGATGATTGGCGTTGGTGGAAGTTTGTAGGTTACAACACAAATTATCGTGATACGATGATCGGGATTGGTGGAAGTTTGTAGGTTACAACACAAATTATCGTGATACGATGATCGGGATTGGTGGAAGTTTGTAGGTTACAACACAAATTATCGTGATACGATGATCGGGATTGGTGGAAGTTTGTAGGTTACAACACAAATTATCGTGATACGATGATCGGGATTGGTGGTGGATTATAACACAAATTATCGTGATACGAACACAAAATCGTGATACGATGATCGGGATTGGTGGAAGTTTGTATGTTATTACACAAATTATCGTGATACGATGATCGGGATTGGTGAAAGTTTGTAGGTTATCACACAAATTATCGTGATACGATGATCGGGATTGGTGGAAGTTTGTAGGTTATTACACAAATTATCGTGATACGATGATCGGGATTGGTCGAAGTTTGTAGGTTTTCACACAAATTATCGTGATACGATGATCGGGATTGGTGGAAGTTTGTAGGTTATCACACAAATTATCGTGATACGATGATCGGGATTGGTGGAAGTTTGTAGGTTATTACACAAATTATCGTGATACGATGATCGGGATTGGTGGAAGTTTGTAGGTTATCACACAAATTATCGTGATACGATGATCGGGATTGGTGGAAGTTTGTAGGTTATAACACAAATTATCGTGATACGATGATCGGGATTGGTCGAAGTTTGTAGGTTATCACACAAATTATCGTGATACGATGATCGGGATTGGTGGAAGTTTGTAGGTTATCACACAAATTATCGTGATACGATGATCGGGATTGGTGGAAGTTTGTAGGTTATAACACAAATTATCGTGATACGATGATCGGGATTGGTCGAAGTTTGTAGGTTATCACACAAATTATCGTGATACGATGATCGGGATTGGTGGAAGTTTGTAGGTTATTACACAAATTATCGTGATACGATGATCGGGATTGGTGGAAGTTTGTAGGTTATTACACAAATTATCGTGATACGATGATCGGGATTGGTGGAAGTTTGTAGGTTATAACACAAATTATCGTGATACGATGATCGGGATTGGTGGAAGTTTGTAGGTTATCACACAAATTATCGTGATACGATGATCGGGATTGGTGGAAGTTTGTAGGTTATAACACAAATTATCGTGATACGATGATCGGGATTGGTGGAAGTTTGTAGGTTATCACACAAATTATCGTGATACGATGATCGGGATTGGTGGAAGTTTGTAGGTTATAACACAAATTATCGTGATACGATGATCGGGATTGGTGGAAGTTTGTAGGTTATTACACAAATTATCGTGATACGATGATCGGCGTTGGTGGAATATGTGAACATGTGTATCCTACTCACACGAATCGAATTTTGTTTACATCAGTTGTGTTGCTAATGCTTTATCCATCAGTAACCTCTTTGATTCTTTGCCAATGTTAAATCCACGAAAATAGAGGCTACTACATGCCACCATCATATGGTTTATTAATGTTATCTCAAACAGAGAAAACCCTGTGTTTATATATATATATGGTAAAATGATACAGTAGGAGGCAGGGTTAGTTACTGCGTGCGCTGAATCCGCCAGACTTCAGCAGCACGCGAGATAAACATTTATAACGACAACAATGGCGATACCATAGCAATAATGTGACTAGATTAATGTTTTATGTAAATCAGATTGTTATCAGACATTCAGTGTGCTTTGTTCTGTGAACGTGTATGTATATATATAGTTAGGTAGATTTACATTATATGAAGAAACTACTTAGAGTTTCTGTTCTGAACCTCTTACTTTATTGCTGTTCACATGGTTTTATAAATGTTCTGAATATTTATACTCTTTTAATTTGATTTTATTTTGTCCAGAAAATATTTTTTATGGATAACTCGAGTAATTCCTCTACAACCCTCTAAGAAGCATGACTTATTAGTCCTGGGCTTCTTTCATCCTCACAGAAAACTGTATTTTCCGCATATTTTCAAATCAAAATAGGTACATGTATATATTAAAAAAATACAGTGATGAACTCTCATTAATCTGGTCACCTTTTGTGCTATAAGCATCAATAAAACAATGCGAATCTCCCCAATCCAGAGGTTTTACAATATTACCTTCTTTAAATTAGCTAAACAATATCTTAAATGCTTCTTTTTGTCATTTTGATAACTAGTTGTCGATTATTATTAAAATCATTTTTATAAAATAACTGCACAAAATGACTTGAAAAATTTCAATTTAATGGTTTGTACAAAGCGGATTATTTTATCTAATGCACAGTTATGATTTCGTTGAAGAATGAAGAGTTCTCTGTATATAATCATGTCGGGGTCGTTTAAAAAAAGACATATCCAATTACGTATATTTATTATTTTATATTTTTTTTTGTAAAGCGTTTGACGTTATAAAATTGTCATACGTGTGATGCAAGCTGACAATGCTCAATATTTGAGAGAGAGCGCGAATTTTTTGTCATAAAACTTGCTTTACAATTCAGTCCTGTCTTTGTCCTAAATCGGAGATTCCTGACAGTTTGGTAATGATTTGGGATAAAGACAAGAAAAGAACGTTTCTATTACAGTATTTACTTATTCTGAAGATTTGGAAACAATATTATTTTGAAACCATTACAACATATTGATTATTGATTCACTCAGTTCGTTTATGATGTTTGATTACGTAAATGAATTTTACAGAAACTTTTAATGACTTTCAGAGTCGTCTAAATTAGTGTTATGAAATCTAGCGGTTGAATACTTTTAAAACATCATGTTGACTGCTTTGGTAGTGAATATATTGTTTATCAGTTGCATAAGTGGTTGGTAAATAGTGGTGTCAACTGCATTCGTAATGGATAGTAGTGATTCAATGTCATAAGGGATAGATAGATAATGTGTCAACGTCATAAGGGATAGATAGATAATGTGTCAACGTCATAAGGGATAGATAGATAATGTGTCAAGATAGATAATGTGTCAATGGCATAAGGGATTGATAGATAATGTGTCAACGGCATAAGGGATAGATAGATAATGTGTCAACGGCATACGGGATAGATAGATAATGTGTCAACGGCATAAGGGATAGATAGATAATGTGTCAACGTCATAAGGGATAGATAGATAATGTGTCAAGATAGATAATGTGTCAATGGCATAAGGGATTGATAGATAATGTGTCAACGGCATACGTGATAGATAGATAATGTGTCAACGTCATAAGGGATAGATAGATAATGTTTCAACGTCATAAGGGATAGATAGATAATGTGTCAACGTCATAAGGGATAGATAGATAATGTGTCAACGGCATAAGGGTTGGATAGGGTGTCAACGGCAAAAGAGATATTCAGATATAGTGGATACAGCATAAAAGGTGGATAAATAGATCGTAGTGTGTCAACTGTATAAGAAGCGGATAGATAATATGTCAATTGTATAGATGTTGGGGAGATACGTGAAATTAGAAAGTTACATAAATGTAGGCTAGATAATAGGACAAACTGATTATTAGTGGCAGACAGAGAGACAACAGATGAATGGTGACTGCATACAGAGACAATCGGGTTAGTGGTGACTAGATGGTGGAACAACCGGATTAATGGTGACTGGGTAGTGGAACAACCGGATTAATGGTGACTGGATAGTGGGACAACCAGATTAGTGATGACTGGAAAGAAGGACAACCAGATTAGTGTTGACTTGATAGTGGAACAACCAGATTAGTGGTGACTGGATAGTAGGTCAACCAGATTAGTGGTGACTGGATAGTGGCACAACCAAATTAGTGGTGACTGGATAGTGGCACAACCAGATTAGTGGTGACTGGATA